GCCTGGAGGCCTGGCGCCACCCTTCGGGGCCTGCAAGGACCCAGTTGGAGGGACAGGAAGGGGCTGGGGGATGGTTGGTGGTGGGCTTTCTACTTTGCCTTTTCCTCCTTATGCCGCCTTAGTGAGAGGCGGGAGCCCTGGCGGCAGCTCCGGGCCGGGAAACGGGCTCCGGAGTCGGAAGAGCTGGGTTTGCTTCCGGGCCTAGCCACCAGCTGGCCGAGTGACCTTAGGCAAGTCCCTCTGTAATCTGCGCCTCAGTTTCCTCCTCTGTCGATGTTTGTGGGATTAAAAGCGCTTTGTAAACCACAAAGCGTCAGTGTACATAAGGGATCATTATTATTTGTAAAATTTTCTGATTTGTAAGAAAACAGCCATTGCCCAATCCATCGATTTTTTGAACCTAGGAACCTTGGATTGGAGTTGGAAATCCCCAAACTCCCTGAAATTGTATGCAGAAATTAGTGGGAATGAGCATTTTAGGGGGATGAGGATCCATCGCCAACAAGGTTTCAAAGGGAGATGTCACCCCCAAAGAGTTAACCACAATCTCTCTATGCCACAGGGAGGAAACTGAGGCCTAGATGTCATTTGAGATCCTTCACAACCAATTTGAAGCCCCTGTTTGAATCCCTGGGATATGTGAGCTTTTCTGTGCATAATGGATATTGGGGTAACAACACTCCACTGCTTGGCTTTTTTCCTGAGTCCTTTCCTTTCCCCATGGGGGGTGCCCGAAGGGTGGCTAATGCATATGGTACAGTGGCATCCAGTATAAAGCAGCTGAAACTAGGAGTGGATGTGTTCTCTGGTATCAAGAAGCCTATTTAATCTTTGGCCCATTAACTTTGTTGCTGCTTATACTGGTGCCTGACTACCTTTCTGACTCTTTCATTGACCATTTTTCACGACCATGTCTGCCATCTGTTACTTGCTCCTATTTTATACCCCTAGTCTATGTGGTTGGTAGTGAGCAGGCTTATTTTTAAATGGTGCTGCCAAGTCTAGCTAATTAATGGTGCAGGTGGATTTTTCGGAAGCTGGCTAACGAACAGACTGATCCAGGCATGGAATTCCTGAAGATGTTGGGGGGTTATCTTTATTAATTGAAGGTTAACATTTTCTGAAAAATTGCGTTTGAACCTGTGCTGAACCTCAGAATCAGTAGATTTGGAAGTTTTCCCAAGCTTAACTTTTTCCTGGACTGCTCTGTATTCTATTTGCTTGCAAGTGTGTTGCTAAGGTGGCCAAAAATGCCAGTTTTTTGCTTCCTTGTTAATTGTCAGCTGCTTTTACCCAGCAAACACTATAGAAATGTTTGAACAGTTGGATTTCAAACATTTTTGTTTTGTGGAGTGGTGCAACTCTAAGCAAACGAACACACACGATTAAGTGTATTTTGTCTGGTTAGGTGTTACCCGGTTCTGCTATTGCATACAAATGTCTGGGAAAAAAATCAGTTGACTGTTGCCTTTACCTAAAGGGCAGAGACAGATGATCTTACTTCCAGAGAAATAACTTATTTGGGGGGAAATGTGTTGGTCTTTTGTAATAAAACCTGGATGTACTGCAAACGAATCTTGATTGTGGTGAGAAGATGCTTTTCTCAGCAGAAAAGAGGGACACAAACATCTGGAACTCAAAGCTTGAAATTCTGTGACAAAACACGAGATGTCCAGGATAGAGGGTTGAAAGGGTTTCACTACAGTGTTTCGCACTAGCTGGAGCCGATGCCCGTTAGTAGCCACGGCATGGACTCCAGATTTGCAAGACCTGGGACCTGGATGCGTTTATGAGGATGTGACAGGAACTCTGGAGCTGGATATGTTTACTTTGGGGACTATTGACCTCGCTTTCAGAAGAGAGACGACAACTAACCAAGCAATGCCACTAGCGCTGTTACTGGGAATTTGAAGACCTGAGTTTCTGCCAGACCTCAGTGCAAACTCTGATGACACTGCATCCAAAGTGAACTACGGTACTTGCCATTTTCCCAAATGACTCGTTCTTGACCATCTCTTCACTTTTGTTCATACTCTTCTCTACCCTGAAATGTCTTCCTCTGGTTCTTCACCTGCCAAAACTCGGCCATTTTCTCAGTATCTTTTATCCTTGTATCTGATGCCCTGTAAAGTAGTTATTTGCATGCTTTTTTTATTTGCTTTCTTGCAGATAGCAAGCCCCTTGGAAAAAAAGGGTCTTCGAATCTTTGCCCACACATACTACCACATGTGATGAAGCTTTTAATAGAAAAGAGGAATTCAGAGAGCAGGCTGTCCCAGAATGAGCATTCAGTAAGTGTTTGCTTAATCATCGTGTGACAACCTGGTTACTCTTGATTAGGAAAAAGATCACTAGTTATGGGCCATGTTTCTTCCTTGGTTTCATGTTTTTAAATTCTGAATTTAAAAAGATTTTAGGAGACTTCAAACGGAGAGAAATTAATATATTGCATAGGGCATTACAGAAGGATGCATGCAGTAGGGCCTTATTACCTAGGTACATTATTCTTTCCCATTTGAGATCTTGTCAAAATGAATAAGACAATTTAGGAAAGGCATTGGAAAGGGAGAAGGGCAATATCTCCTTTGCCTTGGTGTTAGTATGTAAACTTAAATTCAATTCTTCTTGTGGTTCCTGTGGAGCCCTTCTTTATTCCCCACCAACCACTGCCCAGCAGCCTGAATACAATCAAATTACTCCCCTAAAGTATAAGACTGAGGGCAGTTTCTAAGATGGTTATTTTCAAGAGTCTGGAAACCATCTTTGCCAGAGAACTCTTTGTTCTGATCATCACTGATTGTTGATTATAAAGCTCATTTTTTCCATTTATCTGTGAGCTTCTCAGTCAGGCTTATCAAGAATTAGTACACATCCGGCAGCTGATGTGCTGACTGCAGAGCCACTCCAGTGTTAGAGTCCTGTGTTTGTAATTCCATGCGTTTGTTATCTTACCTGTTTTGTCCCTGGGCTTTCTGACCATCTTCCTTGTGTTCACTCAGCCTACAGATTTGGTACCTGGATTTCTGTCCATGGTGATTTCTATCACCTTACTACTGAAGAAGATACCATCCCAGTAGACCACTATGACCCAAGGGACATTCAACCATCATGATGTGGTCTTCACCTCCATTCCTGTCCTTCTCTACCCAGATTGAGCACCATCCTTTATGTGAAGTCAAACTCCTCAAGCCAAATAGCTGGAACTGTTTCATCACAACAGAGGCTCAGTTTGTTCCATGAGTGTGTATTTTGTTTCTTCAGTTAAAGCCTTCAGAGACACATAATAAATTTGGACCCAGGGGATTCTTAGTTCTCAACATTGTCTGGAGAATGGTAACATCTTGAGAACAACATTGGACCACAACCCACAATCTCAAATGTTTATGAAGTTTTGAGGATCCCATGCAGGTCACTGGACGCTATTCTTTTTCCACGTCAAATCTGTAGTATCCTACTGAATGAGAAAGCAGATATTCTGACCCATTGGGATTAAAACAAAGGCCTAGTGAAGTCCTCATAGCATCTTTGGGATTATTCAGGAACCAGAACTTTTCACACAAATGTAAGGAATTTTACAAAGGAATCCTTTACCCAGCATCTCACAAAGCTTCAATCAGATTCCAGAAAAGGCCACTTGAGACATCCAGGTAGAACCTATATGGTAATCCCTTATGTTTTTATCGCACTTTACAGTCTCAAAGCACTTTTACATGTGTTAATATCAGAATCACACACTAGACTATAATCCTGTTTTGTAAATGAGGAAATGGGATTTGAAAGATTATCCAAAAGTATCAAGTGGTAGAGGCCAAACCTTCTGACTCCTGGTCCAGTTCTTTCCTTGGAATTAATTTAGCCTCAACCCACAGTGTTAAAATGACTGCAGGTTGGGAACCCCAGAAAAGTGTTCTAGCTTCCTGATCTGGTGACATCAACAGGATGTCATAAATGTAATACTGTAATAGCTGTCCTAGACCAGAATTCCATGGAAACACCCCTAAGGTTAAGGAGCAAACTCTCTGTGGTGGTAGATTGTCCAGTCAACAAGACACACGTTCATCTGACAACACTACTCAACATGAAACAAAGCTACTGTTAGATTTTTTGACTGTCTTTGTAGTCTTCACAAAGATGGCCTAATTGATTGGGGAATCCCTGTGCAAATCATGCCTTTATTTTGTTAAGTCTTAAGATCTTATCGATGATTCTTTTATCCCCTAACTAATATTTGTACCATCCATTTCAATCAGTACTGTTCATGTATGTGTAATTGCATACACAACATATATGTCATACATACAGAGCTTCGTAGCCCAGTAAGGTGGTAAAAATACTATAAAATGTGTCCCCTCTCTAATTGATAATGCAGTGTAGTGTATTAAAGGATATCATAAGGCAGCAAAAAAAACACACACACACAACTATCATTTAGCTGTTTAGTCTGGTATGTTCTAAGTTTAATCAAACGCAGAATGTCATCTTGCAGCATTCCTTTCAATGGAATGAGGCAACTGCTTAAGAGTGGCATAGCCAGTGCTTCTTGAATGCCAACAGATTGCCCTGGAGACCCAGGAATAAACTGCATCTTTGACACACACATCCCTTTTTTCTTATCAATAACAGCTTTGAATTAGTATGTTTCCATCATTTGAGAATTCTTTATCTTGACCATTACCTTGATTTTTCTGTCAAAGAAACCTCTAGATTTGTGGGAATACTGGGGAGGGGGTTGGGGGAAAGTTAATTCATCCAAATTTGGATGGATTCTATGACATACAGTGATGTATTTCTCTGTCCCTAGAATTGTGCTATAAACCTAGTTCAAGGTCATTGCATCTCAGATGGGTGAGAAGATTGGGAAGGGAAAAGAGGAAGTGGGTGGAAAAAATGGAGAGGAGGGATGAGGAGATATTTTCTTAGAATTTCTGAGTTGTGGCCCACTGAGATCTTATCAGTGCTTGAAGTCACCTAGCATGGACTTCTTGGAATAATATTTACAAAGAAATGAATGCATTTTGCAGCTGTATTCTGACTGCAAAAACCCCAGTGCTGTTGTCATTTAAGACCTTGTTCTCTGATAGTCATAAGCCCAATTTCAGGAAATGAGAATTTATAACAGACTTGAATGTTAAATTTCATAATTCTATAATGTGGCCCACCTTAGGGGAAGAATGAATAGGAAAACACCTTGGCTTACCAAAGACTTTGCTTACACAGTTTCTGGTTTCTGTGACCTATTTTTTGTATTTCAGCATTTTGTGAACAACTTATTCTTAGATCATTGGTTTTCCAAAGGCTTTGTGGCCATGAAGCCCTTTGGACGAAAACTGTGTGGAAGCCCAAAGTAAAAGTGAAGTTGCTCTGGACGAAGCAGAGTGGGGGTCCTGAAATCTGCCACAAGCATCTTCCTTTATCGCCATGGTGACACCTAAGGAGAGACTTCTTTACAGCACCTAGAATTCTTCAGAGCACATTTTGAAAAAACAGTGCTCTAGACAACAATATGTTCGACCTGAATGATATTCTGTTCTGTACCTCTACCCAACACAGTCCATGTTCAGTTAGTGCTGAACATTCTTAGGAATACTTACTATGGACAAACTCAGAAAAGTGCAAGAACTTTGCCCCTAAGTAGTTATATGGGCCAAAAGTGTATCAAATGAACCTAAATTAATCATGCTCTACCCCCATATGGACTTACAGTAATTCCTGGGTTTGGATATAGACAATAAACCATATGTACTCTACACTGACAAACCCCCTTACCCAACTTCTTTCACGAACACCAGATGCTCTAGTGGTACTTGAAATACGTGAATCTGAAGTCTTGATCCTCCTTGGATACCTGAATTGCCAGGTATTGAAACTGATGCCTCATTGAGGCCATAGTAGACCAACTTGTTCATCGGACCTCTCATCATCAACCATGGTACTCTACTTCATGTGCAAGGGATAACCATTAACTATGAAAGCAGAATTCAAATTCTGGCAACGTTAACTAAAAGGGTACCTGGTTTTATCATTCATCTTATTCTCAAACTACAAGTCACTATGACTCAATCAGTTGCAGTAATACTACTGCTTGGTTTTTATTTACTTTTAACTGCTGTTTCCAGGATAAATGAGCTAATAACATTTAATAAGCTAAAATAATTCCTCCACCATCGGCATATCTGCTCGGCATATTCTGCTCTAAAATTACAAATACTCTGCTCTAACTACATGTAAGACCTGATCCACAGGAGACCATCTTTGAATATCTTTTCTGATGTGATTTAAAATGTGGCCATTTGGGAAGTTTTCTTCTAGCCAGTGAGAGTTTTTCCTTTAAGATGGGTCTTGATGTCTAGTACCATCAACTGTAAATATTAGGGATATTTTGAGGTAGGCACTTGCTGAGAATCTCAAATTGTGTATAATCTCTTTTGCTGGAAATGTAGACTGACTTGAAAAAAAATCTACAAATCCTTCAGCTAAGGATTTTGTCAGTAGACTCAAGCTTCCTGTTGTGCTTCCTAATGTCACAAGACCACAGTCCCTTGTCCTTGTGGATATGTTCATGGAATTTTACCGGTCTCAGTACTGTTTTAACACTGATTCAGAGTGGCCAACTTCATTCCTCAGGCATTGAGACAACTTACCTGTTTCTGCAGGAAGGATTCAGTTTGTGAACTTCCAGACCAAATCATGTTAAACAAGTAGACTTTGAAATCTTATTTACTTCACAGTTGACTTAAGGGCCAGATGTCCTCAACTACTTTAACGAATGCACTGGTTAAATGTTGGGAATGGTTTCTTTATATGTCTCTTATCCACTAGATTAATTATGAGAACATGACTTAGTCTTCAAATCATCAATCTAGGCCTAAGCCTGGTTACTCTAGACTGCTTACCGTCAACAAATAAAGATAAAATAATGACCATCCTGCTTGTATATACAACTATTATTTGTAAAGAAGAAATCTGCAAACTCAACTTTTTTTACTACCTTCCAAATAGCTAGATTTTTCTTCTGTACAGGAAAAGACATTGATCTACACTGCCAGTTATTCCCATTATTCCTGTCAGACTCAGTCAAAATGAGGGGCTTAAGGTGAGGATGATCGTCTTTCAAGAGTCTAATGAACACTGTGTATAAGAATTGATGTTTGAAAAAGCAAAAAAACCTAAAATTCAAACCTAAGCTCTTACCTACTATCTCCATGCCTCAGATCTCATCTAAGTCCAGCAGCACCATTCAACCAGTTTGAGGCCTTGACTTGTGTTTGATTCCCAGAGATGTGCTGAATTATAGAAGATGGAGATTTTGATTACCAAAGAAAGTAGTGCCAATCTTGATGAACCCTATTATTCCCAGGTGTAGGAACAGACACCTAAACAACCTCACGTCTGGACTGAGAATATAGCCTTCTGAGCTGAAAATTCTTATTGGGCAAATGAGCAGGAAGGTGAAAGCTGCTGTACCCGACTGGCTATTTAAGATCTGAAAAGTGTATCCAGAATAAACACTATGGATTAAGCCTGGAGTAATCCAGGTAAAAACTAATTTACAGAACTTCAATATTAAACTACATGTTCTTCCTTAGACCCTTGTCATTGGTATAGCTGGCCCTGCTGAAGGTACCCTACTTACCTATTTATCTGACTCAGCCCTTGCCTGCCTTTTTTGACACGTTGCTGCAATCAAACTTGCTGTCCTGGAACAGACTACAACTGATCTCAGCCTATCTTATACCTAATTCCACCAAGGAGTTTTGAACTGAAGCAGCCTGCACCTCACTCCCTGTTCTCCACAGGAAGGACCGTGCTGTATACTTTTTGACCAGCATCAGTCCTTTTTTTTTAAGTGCAGAGTAAGCCTCAGCCTATATATATTTGATCATTTTCAGCACCTGGAGATCCTCCTACCAGATCTGAAGGAGTGTAGCAGATAAAAAGCACTGTCAGTTTCTCTCCTGCAGTAATACAGAAGTTGAGTCTGAATCAACAGCACAGAAATGAGAAATGTTCAACTTGGCGAAAGACTTGAACACAAAAGATTTCCAGGAATTTCAAATTTACCACTGACTTGAATAGCCTCACAGAACTACTTTCCATTGGGAGACTAGTCGTCTTGCATTATGTCAACTAGATAATTGAGCTCTCGGACTCTTAATACTTATATTGAAACTATGGTATCATCCAGAGTATGTTACTGGACATGATTATTCCATACAAATGGACTATAAGCTTCCTGACGACAGGACATACTCATGATGTGTGTGTTTTTCAGAATACTTTTATCAAGAAAGAATAATGCCAGCTGTTACAATTCAACTTTATGAGCAGAGATTAAGCTTTTTCAATATCCAATGTTATCATTGTTATCAGTTATTTTTAATTGGCCAGCATTTATTCCATCTCTTCCTAACAACTTCCTGATGTTTCTTGGAACCATATCTCCTTATTTTCAGTCCACATAGTCCAGACAGTCTGACCTAACCTTAGGGTTCATGTGTGGACGTGAAGTTCAGACCTGATCAATCGGCATAGTTCATCTCCTTGATCATAGTGATTGATTCGATTCAGGAATGGTCATGTGATTCAAGTTGATCCAGTGATATTCAACCCTAGGAGTTTACTGAACAGTGGAAGAGGAAATGCTCAGAAACTCTGTATTTACTGAGGTTGCTTACCTTTGTAGGATGAACAAGCTCAAACCAGCAGGGTCCACCATATAAAATGAGCCAGTCAGAGAATGAAGCCAGTGCAGAGGAAAGCGGAGCCAAATGATGGAGAGACTTTAGTCCTGATGACAATGTGCTCCTAGATCCATCCGTGCCTGAAGCGAGTATATCCTCTGGATTTTTCAGTTTTGTGAACCAATAAATACCCTTTTGTTTAAGTTACTTTGAGTTTGGTTTCTGTTGCTTGAAATTGAGTCCAAATATTCTTCCTACCAATATTGAAATGACAGATCCAAGTATTAAACTATTGGTCATGGTTACAGTGAAGTTACTTTACAAACTGGAAGTCAGTGAAAAAGGAACTGACAGTGCTTAAGACAGAAGCAAAAAATTACATGATAGAAAAATATAGGAGAAAACCTAAATGTTATCAGTAAGGGATTGCTTAAATAACATGATTTAACCATATTAAGAAAATTTACATGTGGATTAAAATGAGCAAGGTACCCTTATTGTGTATGGACATGGAAAAATGGCCATGTTATATTAAGTGAAACAAACTATTGGTAGAAAAACGTAGTATGAACTCATTTTAAAATTTGTCTTTGTTTATAATACAGTGGGGCCTTAACTTACGAGTTTAATTCGTTCCGTGACGGAGCTCGTAACTAAACTTGATACATTTCTATATTTGAATATTTTTCACTGAGACACGTGCTTGCAGCTCGTATCTCAAAAAACTCGTTAGTCGGGACACTCGTAAGTCAAGGCCCCACTGTACATAGAAAAGTCTATTAATGGCTTTCTTTGAACAGTGTAGATTACATGAGACTTTAAACTTGATACATTTCTATATTTGAATATTTTTCACTACTCTGGTTACTTGCAAACTTTATTTAAAAGTAAAGCATTTTTAAAATTAAGTTTAGTGCTTACTGTTTGACCTTTGGCAAGTTAATTACACTGAGCCTGTTTCATCAAATAATTTAAAATAACCCTCCTTTATCTTTGTGAGTATTTTGATAAACATATTCATCATCCGTTACTCACAACTGACAGATTGCTGCATCTTTACTTGTTTGAGAAACTGAGCTCAGTAATTGTTCCTTAATTTTTCAAGCGCATCTCTTTAAATGTCCAAGTGTATTCAGAATATCAGAACTTCATCGTTTCAGTCATCAAAAGATTGTTTTAGTTCTCAACTGATGTTAATCTATGAAGACCTCTATCGCAGTTTTCACTCTAAACAGAGAGAGGGAAAAGTCCGATTTTCTTTTGAAATCTGATTATTCTGATCTCATTGCAATCAAGGTTAATAACCTTTTTATTGCTAAGTCTGTTGCATATGCATCATATCTGAACTTCCAGCAGCACAATTTCCCCCAGCATCTTGACATACTTCCTTTAGGTGTGAAGACTCCATTTTCTTCCTGGCTATTAATCCACTGTAGGTTCTTCTCCCCATCATTTAAATACTATATTAGTAGACTTTTTTTTTTTTTTTTTTTTTCTCCCCCAA